GGGGGGGGGGGGGGGGGGGAGCACATATGGCGGCAGGACAGCGATACGGCACAGCAGCGTGTGTTTCACTGTTGTAAAAACCACAGTTCGGTGTGTTGGTTACTTGCACGGCTTTCTGGAAGGCAGGACCCGTGCGAATGCTCAACATGCTATCTTCGGGCTACATTTACGTCTCTACGGGTCGAGCAAAAGCTCTGCTGTTCACCATTCAAGCAGGCCGGAGGTCTACACAGGCGGCAGCAATCGATTTTGCCAATAGAACGAAGGTGATTTTTAGCCTACGACGACAAACTCTCACACACGCACGCGTGGGGACGTGTCTCGCACTACGGTAGTTGCCGCTCGAAAAGGTACGACTTGCTTTCAACCAAACGCAAAAAGTTCAACCACAGGTCTTGGGGGTCATGATATGTTTTGCACGCGATGTATTTTACCTCGTTGCCCGGGAAACGGACCGTCCAAAACCACCCCCCTACTACAGCCCTACAATAGGTCATGGTGTACTTACTGCTACTACGTCTTTATGTTCCGTGCGTTGTAGACTGAAGGCACGCATGGCACCTACCATGAAGGGTCCGATAACACCAGACAGTACTTTGTACACGTTTCCCGATAATCAGTACCTTCCACAAATCAACCCCTTACTACAAAGCCCTAGGTCTTGATGTACGCCTGATGAGTCTCTCTCCCTTTGCGTACATGGCTGACCGGGTGCAGGAAACTGCAGCCCCCGTTCATCAACGACGTGGCGTTCTGGGTGACAGGAGGGGACAGGTGAACGACAGACCACACATTTATTGTTGTTTTCCAAATATGTTCCGTGTTACACACTTCTTACCATGAACGGCCCAATCGCATCCAGGATTAGCCGCCGTGTCCTCGCGTGGAGTTCCTCCACCCGTGCTGAGGCGTTCCCGTTTTGCTCGTTCGAGGGGGGTACGTCGCCGCGGGCCTCGACGCGGCAGTAGTGCAGCCCCTGGGTGCCCTCCTCAACAAAGTGATCGATCACCGTCTGTCTCGAGATCAGCTTCGCCTTGAGCAGTACGCGCCCGTCGCTCAGGAACTCGCACTCGACCTTTTTTTATTGTTGTGTGTGTCGTCGCCGTTTCGTTTTGATTTGAAAGACAGAGAGAAAGAGAGAGAGCGAAAAAAGCGGTTGGTCATGTGACTCGTGGTTATCGTCCTTTCACTTGCATGGAAAGAGGGAGAACAAATGAGTTGTGAAGGCCAAGGCGTGTGAGGAAACAGAATATCGGTGCCCTACTCAACGGGGGGCTACTGTACCCACACAACGCCAGCAGCTGCGCGTTGCACCGTGTGGCGGCATTTGCCTCACCAGCTGGGCGATGAGCGCTACGTCCCCGATGGTCGCGACGTAGTTGGAGTAGTTTGGAACGTACGCGAACCTGGGGGGGGGGCACCGGGGTATACATTGGGGGGTGGGGTAAAAGGTCAGGAGGTAGCGGTTCAGTCTGTGTGATTGATTGCGTCGTCGATCGCTCGTGCGCATTCCTCTCTGCGCGCATTTTCCATCGGCACAGCAGACCCAAAAACCCTGGAGACAACGTGCTAAACACTTTAGTTCCCGGTCGCAACGTATGGTGCAGCGGCACATAGCGCCCACCTCCGCGAAGTATTGACGACTCTCTTTATCATGAGCTTGTAGCGCGGCTCGAACAGGTGCAGCTGCAGGCTCTCTCCGGGAAACATGGGCACGTTGTCTGGAACAATTCGATACAGGATTGGGAGAAGAACAGGTGGGGGGGGGGGG